ACCATCCTTCTCACCTGGAAGCTGCCTTCTCCACCTTCCTTCTCACCTGGAAGCTGTCTTCTCCACCTTCCTTCTCACCCTGGAAGCTGCCTCCTCCACCGTCCTTCTCACTCTGGAAGCAACCTCCACCCATGTGGTGGCTTCCTCTGGTTGTTTCCTCCTGGAAACCACTTTAAGGAAGGGCCACCAGGTTATCTGGGTCCTTTTCCACCATGCCCTAACACCTCTCATCCCTGCCTTCTGCCCCCTGTTTTTCAGCTCCCTTTGATCTGTCGTCATCCAGTCTTAAAGGGTAAGCTCCTCAAGGGCAGGGAATTTCTTCTTGTTTCTAGTAGTTGTTATTCAGTATTTTTAATTGTCTCTGACCCTTTATGATGCCATTTGGGTTTGTCTTGGCAAAGACATTGGAGTGGTTTGCTATTTCATTCTCCAGTTCATTTTACAGATAAGGAAACTGAGGCAAACAGGGTTAAATGACTTGCCCAGGGTCACACCACGAATAAGTGTTTGAGGCCGGATTTGAACAAAGATGAGTCTTCCTGACTCCAGACCTGGCGCTCTATCCACTGCAGCATCTAGCTGCACTTATACTTTCTATTAGTTAACACTTAGAAAACGCTTGACTTTACTTCTCTCTGCTCTCCATTCCTTTAAGCTACTTCACCCCCGTGTCCTTTTCACTCCAGGCACAAAATCGCCCAGGCTGCATATGGAAAGCGGTCAGCCTGAGGTCACAGTGGTTTTCCTAAAGATGCAGGGTTTGGAGAGTTACCATGACCCAAGTAGTATACTTCATTATTTATAGAATTCACAATTTTCAGACTTTATTTAAGTCTATAGTCTAGCTTTTTGACAGGAAGGTGGCCCAAAATAGTGGAGCGCCAGGACTGGAGTCAGGAAAATCTGAGTTCAAATCCAGCCTCAGACCCTCACTAGCTGTATGATCTTGGGCAAGTCATTTAACACTGTTTGTCTCAGTTTCCTCATCTGTAAAATGGAATGGAAAACCACTCCAGTATCTTTGCCAAGAAAGCTCCAAATGGGGTCACAGAAGAGTCAAACACTGCTGAAAAATGACTAAACAACCACAACCAAGGACCCGAAATTGCTGTCCACCTCACATTTTAACTGCAATAGTCAAGAGGACCCAGAAGTGACAGGCCCTCCATGTGTTAAATGTCAATAACCTCTGGCTAGGACCCCTTTACAGCCAATATTGCTCCATAAACTTGTGTGTATAGCTGTAATTAGACACAAAGCCAGAAGTGTTGTATAAACAGAGCTGGCTAAACCCAATAGCCCCATAACTATATCTGGAAGGAACATAAACATGTTTTCTAAGAGGCTTTTGCTGAAATCTGTTTTTGAAAAGGAATTTGCAATAGGCCCCAGCTCATTCTCAAAAGCCTTTAATACAGTGAAAAATGTTTCAACAGACATCCGACTGTACACTTCCAGGACAGCTAGTAGGAAACGTTACCAAGGTATTGAATTATGAAGCAGAATTCCTATAGCTTCATCAGGGTGAAAAAAAAAATCTTAGCTCTAGTCTTAGCCTTATTAATTTTGTTGAGGGGGTGGAAGCAGAGCATTTTAGGTACCAAACAACTGTTTGACATTTTCTAAATGCACAATTAAAAGAATGAGGGAGAAGAGAAATGAAGCTGGTGGGAAGGAGCTGGCCAGCAGGGAGTGGGAAGAGGTTATTTGGGACTGTTTGGCAGAAGGGAGCTGGTCCACAGTAATAGAAGGAGGGACTGCTGGGGAGGTCAGTGGGTAGGAGTTTGGGAAGTTGAGGTAGCAAGAGGAAGCCAGGGAGTGAAAAATAATGGACAATGGGAAATGCAGAGAAGAAGCCAAAAGGAAATCTTCAGAGTGCCTGCAAGAGCAATCAACTGATGGTGAAAAATATTTAAATCCTGTAAATTTCTTTAAAAAAAGATGTGTATGTATGAATATATGATGGGGGAGAGGGGGGAGAGTGTTGAACAGACCTGTAGTCTTTCTGGAAAAAGTACACACACATAAGCTACCCAATTTGTATGACATAAGGGTATAATCCTCAACAGCCTAATCTTTATTAAATTTTTATTACTCTATTTTTCAATACTAAATGTTA